GCCCACAGCTCCATCTGCCATGACCTTTACACAGCCAGGGCCTCAAACTCAGATGAGTGTGTGTGTGTGTGTGTGTGCGTGTGTGTGTCTTATTGAGCATGTGTGAAAATGAGCGTACGTGCCTGCGCTTAAGATCTGCCTACACAGACCCTCGTCTTTTTTCCCCAATCTAACTTCCTTTCCTAACCATGGAAGAAGTTCCCATATCAGACTCCGAGTTTACACCCTAATTTCTTCCAAGAATCCCAAAACACCCATCTGACCTGTTTGTTTCCCCACATTGCCTCTCTCCCCTTCCTAAATGAGCGTCATGATCCTGCCCGGGGGCTGCTGCAGAAAGCTGGAGGGCAGCCAGTCCTCCAGGGGGCAGCACACTGAAAATGAGGACAGAAACAGTGTGGGCTGTGCAAAAATACAATCAGTTTAACAAAGAGGAGGACTGCTTGGTCTTTAGAGACTCTTTTTAACAATGCATGGAGAAGACTGAAGGAGCAGCATGAAGGATTATGACAAACAAATGATGGATGCTTTGTTTCCTGTTTCATCACACCTCTTGGACATTCTGTTAGAAAGATTTACATTAGGTTAGGATATTTGGTGCCCCCATCCCTCCGCCCCCAAAATGAAGGTGGCTACTTTACAGTCTCCTTCTCCACCAGCTTTTGACATTCCTAAATCTTGATCCATCATTCCTTGACTTTTATTCCCGAGAACACTTGTGTTAATTCCTACTGTGGCACGTTTACCAGAATTTATTGGTACTATTCCCCCCCTTTTTTGTCCTTATAAAGAAACCCTTTCTTCCCTGAGCTTCTCCAGAAATGGGATGGTCACACGGAGGTTGCACTTGTCTTTGTAGATGTCCTTCAGGGATTTGAAACCTTTGTATATAGAACTGAGATTTGGCAACACAGATAAGCGACCGTGGACGACATTTCAACACGCAAGCATCATTCCAAAAAAACAGAAGAAGAAAGAAAATACAGAGGTGGTTGTTGGCAGAACTTGACTTCCTCTGATATAGTGGGGTTTTTTTTGTTTTTGTTTGTTTTTGGGTGGGCTGCCACAGCTCAACCCTGCTGGAATGTTCAGACTGAACTGCGCCACCTGGTGGCTGGACGAGAGTACTGCATTGCCACACTGCTGCTGCTCTCAGTGCCAACACTCCAAGACGTTCCACTGTATCTCTCTACTTAATCCGTAATGCTCTGTCAAACACACAGACAACCACAAACTCGCATCATCACAATTAGTCCAGTTGCCTATTTTTTCGCAATAAATGAAAACAAAAGATGAGTATAAGTAAATGGTGAGATATTTTTAAAAACTATTTAATTCATTTTAAAAAAATGGAAAAAAATAAAACTTTTCTCTGGTTGTCGTGACCGTGAACAGAATCTCGTCTTATACTGAGGTGATTGTGTTTGTCTGTTAGAGATGTTTTTATTTCTTCTTTCATTGCAATTATTAATGATGATGATGATTATTATTAAGAGGTTTTGTTTTGTTTTTTTACACTTTGCACCTCTCCCCTCCCTCCCTACTTGAATAGTGCTGCTTTGTCCAGGCCCTTGATGGTGATGGGAAAAAAAATTCAACAGTTTTGCAATAAAGGATTTTGTGATGAGGTTCTTTTTATTATTTTATTTGGTTTCTTTTTCACCAAAACCTCCTGAACTCACTCTCAGCCATGCTGACTGTTCTTCCTGATGACATTGACAGAATCGCGTCTTGTCTGTTTTTCATTGACAGATTTAATAAAATTGTAAATTAATGGATCCTGTGCCCTTGATGCAGTGAATTTTCTGCTTTGAAGTTGCACTTGGCAGCAGTCGACCCAAACATGTCTGGTGAACTTATGATCACAAACTAAAGGCATCGAATGAATAGAAAACAAAGTCACCACAGGTTCTCTTTTTATTGACATGAATAACTCACATTCAATCTAATCATTTCAAAAATACACTATGTTGCCAAAAGGATTCACTCACCCCTCCAAATCATTAGTCAGGTGTTCCAAGCACTTCCACTGTCACAGGTCTATAAAGTAATTTCCCCACTCCTAAATATTTCACAGCAAGCTGTTAGTGGTATTATATGTGTAATAAGATCATGGGATGCTGAGGTACATAGTGTGCAGAGGTCACCAACTTGCTGCACAGTCAGTCGCTACAGACCTACACAATCTTCATGTGGCCTTCAGATTAGCTCAAGAACAGTGCATAGAGAGCTTCTTGTTCTTGTTCCAACATGGCTGTGCAGGAACGTGACTGGCCTGCACAGAGTCCTGACCTCAACCCAACAGAACACCTTTGGGATGAATTAGAGTGGAGACTGTGAGCCAGGTCTTCTTTTCCAGCATCAGTGTCTGACCTCACAAATGTGCTTCTGGAAATGGTCAAAAATTCCCACAAACACACTGCTAAACCTTATGGAAAGCCTTCCAAGAAGACTTTAAGCTGTTATAGCGACAAAGGGTGGGCCCACATATTAAACAATATGAAAGTTCAATATGCGCGTGAAGGCAGATGAGTCAATACTTTCTGCAATATAGTGTATGCTACAATACCCAGGTCAGTTGTGTGTGTTACAATTAGTCAACACATTGTCAACCTAGTGTATAAGAATGTGATACAGTACATTGTGATTCACACTGAAGCAAACATGGTCCACTTAATTAGATTTTTAGGATTCAATAAAGGATGGAGTGATAATAGATGTCCTGAGATCAATATTAGTCATTAAACATTAGAATATGCTTTAAAATATCAACATGTGATTTTAGCAGTATTTTGTTTTAGATCGTAAATCCCAACAAATGCTCTCCGGTGCCACTTCCTTCCTCCCTCCGACTCAGCCAACAGCCTGCAATAAACTTCAAGGGGTGTAGTGGATATTTTAGCCAAACAGATAACACATTTCCTAATAAGAGTGATAAAAGTGGGAATACCCACAAATTTGACCATGTAATGAGGTATATTTCGGTATCACCACTATGGAAATGTGGAGGAGACGTGTATACCACACAGGAATATCTTGCATTGTAAGCCTAAAGACAAACGTCATGGTATTATTAGGATGTACACATGAACTGTAGATCCACTAAAGGCATACTACGCTTGTGTGTACATTTATTATACAGCTGCCTCCTTTGTGTGTGTGTTACAGCAGCGAGGCACAGTTCTTCAACAGCAGGGGTTTGGCTAAATCCAGAATGTCTAAGTTGGGATCGAGAGACCTGCCCAGGCCTTCCAGCACCATGATAGCGAAAACTATTGAGGAAAAGTTGCTCTCCAGCTTGACCTGGAAACACGGTGACAAGCGAAATACATATTTGACAGATAAATAAGAGATTCTGTTAAGATCAATATTTTATTTATTTTTTTAAAAA